AACAGAGGGGGTACAAGGACACATAAAATAAAAGCCCCAACTGCAGCAGAGAAAACTCAGAGCAAACAATGGGGAGAAGGAAAAATACAATGGCCAAGTGAGCCATTGAAAACAAAGAAAACAGAATTCAAGAATCAATCCAAACAGATATGAGAGAGATTCTTCACCTAGCAGAAATCAAGATGGTCATGATTAATAAACCGAAAGAATGAGAACAGCATAAAGAAATATTAGAAAAGGAAATGAATATTATGAGAAACACAATCAATGAACAGGAATACAAAACTGAAACATTAAAGAAGAAATAACAGATTTTACAGGAGGAATAAAAAAATTTCAGGAGAATGTCATGGATGTAGAATGAATCAGTGATGTCAAAGATGAAAAACAGGCAAGAAAAAATAAAGAACAGTAGGAGAGAAATGAAATACATTGAATAAATACTTCAATAATTATCTGACACCATGAGGAAAGAAAATATAATGATAGGAATGGTTCTTCCCAGATGGAAAAAAGGGAGTAAAGGGAATTGAGAATCTATTTAGAAAAACAGTGGAGAACACCCCAAACTTGATAAAGAAATGGACATTAAATATAAGAAGCAAAATCTATCTGGATAAAGGGAAACTACAAAAGACACAGAATAGTAAAACTCTTGAGAGTCCAAAACAAAGAAAAATAATTAAACTGATGAGGACAAAAACATTATCTATAAAAGAACTATAACAAGGTGACTGAAGCAAAGGACTGTTACAGGGAATCACTAGTGAGGACAAACAGCACAGAGAAAAATGCTGAAAAGTATTAGATTTTGAAGATGGGCTAAGAAAGAAGAAAGAAATGGCAAAAAAGAAGGGCCAAGTTAAAAAAAAAAAAAAGAAGGCTATTTGTCTCAGCTCCAGAAGTCAAGGTTTGAGTCCCAGATTTGAGTTGCTTTAGCATTTTTGGATTTCATCCCCAGTCTGGGCTATTATTACAGAAGGCTGCCATGGACTTCTGAAGGTGGAGGCCTTCAGTAGCCAACCTTGGAAAGGAAGAGGCTTTCCAAGTGGCCCATCCACTGAAAAGGTTCCTGATTTTGCTATGGTTACAGCTTGCTTAGCTGCATGAGTGAGGCCATTTATCAGGTCATTTGGTTGTTGTGGCAGCTGTCCTGAGTGTCATTCATTTGATGCTTTGCTGAAACATCCTGCAGCTCCGAGAGCACCTCCTGCTTTGTCTTCTGTTGTCTTCATGAAATGAAACCTGGCCTGGAGTCTGGTTGTTGTGTGCCCCAGATCTGCAGAGGCAGTAATGTAACAGGGTGGTCCCCAGGAAAAGGGGAGATTCTAGATTCCCTGCACCACCAGAAGGAGGGTGAAACTGAGCAGGGAGAAGTATCTGGAGAAGAGACTGAAAAGAATAGAAACAGGATAAAGAAGCAGAAGGATATCTGAGGGAAGAACACGGAGCAGAGAGACGTGAAGAAACTGTGCTTGCTTCTTCTTTGTCCTGGACTGGTTACAACAGATGTGGGTGAGAGACCTGTGTAGAATTAACTATGGCAGCGTTTATTTTGATTTTGATTTTTTTCTTTTCCTCCAAGACTTGTCCAGCCATTTCTGACCCTTTATTATAGGTCCCTGCCAGAAGATACTGTAGACTTGTAGTGGGTTTTCAGGACTTGCTTTGCTGTTTGTCCAATCTGGGTAGACTTTTACCCACAAGAGGATCAGTAAATTTGGGTGGTTGATTTAGAAACTATATTATTTATGTTTGCTGTATTGCACACTGATTGTATGTAATATTGTATTGTTCCTTTCCATTAAAGGTCTTATATATTTTGTCTTAATGCGGCAGATAGCAGAACCTATTTAGAGCAGGCAGGTTTGGGGATTCAGAGGTATCCCTCTCTCTGCCCTGTAACAGGAGGACACTACCTTAGACACTAGGCTTATAGTTTAAGAGAAGAGCTGTACATCTTCAGTGCCATCATAACTATTTTTGTATAGGACCATTCTGGACACACACAACTTTGGGTAAAGTAAACAGGTACTATTGGTCTCAATAACTCTTGTTTATTCTGTTTGTTAAATAAATCCCTTTGTTGTTTTCTCCTACACTTGAACAGCTTTGCAATTGTGCATGCAGGTGATGGACGAACCCAGACAACATTTGATAAAGTATTTGGGCAGTGGGACCTTGGCCAGCTTCAGGTCCCTGTCCACCTTTTAGAGTAACAATTAGACTGACATCTTTATTTTTCAAAAAAAAAAAAAAAAGAAAAGAAAAAAACTAAGTAGAAGCAAAAAGGAATGGCATATTCAAAATACTTAAAACAAACACACAAAACAAAAACAAGACTACTGTATCCTGGAATGCTCGCTTTCCTGAATGATAAACATACAAGGAAACTTCTCAGACAGAGAAAATATTAGGGAGTTTGTATCCATCAAACACCTCCCCCTCCAAGAAATATTATAAGAACACTTAGGATATAAGTCAAAGAGAGGAACAAGTACAAAGAACTGAATAATTAAGCAAACCACAAAGTTAGAGGGAAGGGAATGCCAGTGATGGACATTTACATGTCACCAATCATTCTAAACAGTAATAGACTGAAGTCAATGAAAAGACAAAGAATATATATCAATAGATGGATTAAGAAAATGAATCCAAGCATCTGGTGCCTCCAGGAATCACAACTAAGTAACAAAAATAAAAAGAAAGTGAAAGAATAGAAAATAATTATGCAACCAAATGGCTTCCAATGGAAGGCAGAAACAACCATCTTCATGTCAGACAAAATAAATATCCAACCTTAAAACAGTAAAAAAAGACAGAGATAGAAACTATTCAAAGATCAGTGAAGCAACACAGCAGAAATATATAACACTCATTAATATATACTCATCAAACAAAAGAGCAAAAAACACATCAGACAACTACTATCAATTTTAAAATGCATATACGATTGAACCTCAATATCAACTCTCACTAAAGGACATTATTAACATGACACAAAATGAATAATAACATAGTTGCCCTAAACAAAGAGCTAGACATGTGTCTAGTGACATTTATATTACAGACCAAACAAAAGTCAATTTTAAATTTTTCTCAAGCGCACATGGGTCATTTTCCATGAATAACCATATACTAGATCACAAGACAAACATCAACAAATTCATGAAGATAGAAACCATAGAAAATAAAAACATTCATTTATGATGAAAACGCTTAAAAATTGGGGATTTAACATAGCATAACATAATTAAAGTCCTATATAACAAAAACACAGTTACTCCAATTCTCAATGGTAAAAAACTGAAAGCCTTTCCTCTAAAATCTGTTACAAGGCAAGAATGTCCACTCTCACTACTTTCCAACATAGTAGCAGAAGTCCTACCTGGGGAAATTATAAGAGAACACAATATAAAAAATCAGAATTGAGAAAGAAGTAAAGCTATTATTTGTGGAAGACATGATAACATATAGTTAATGAACCATAAAACCCCACAGAAAAACTTACTGAAGTTATAATTCAGTCCAGCATAATGGCAGTATACAAAATCACATATTCAAAAAATTTGTTGCACTGCTATATACAAATAATAAACTAGAAGTAGAAGAAATTAAGAAAGTCATCTCATTTACAATCTCACTAAAAAAATTAAGTTCCTGGGAATAAAGGAAGTTAAGGAACTATACAAGAAAAAATATATAAAATATTGTTAGAAGAAAGAAAAAAAACACAAAGAATCGAAAGATATAGCTGCTTATAGATAGAAAAGATCAAAATTGTCAAAATGGTCATTTTACCTAAAGCAATTTATATAGAATTGTAGCCCAGTAAAAATCCCAATGGCATTGTTCAAAAAAGATTACTGAAACTCACACGGAACTACAAAAAAAGAAAAAAGAAAAAACTTCTCCTGAATAAAAAAGGTTGAAAATTGATATATTACAATTTCAGATGTCAAACTATACTATAGACACACAATAATTAAAGCCACATAGATAAAAATAGACACAAAGACTATGGGAGTTAAAACCCCAGGAAAAACAAAAAAGCACACATATTTACAGACAGCCATTATACAACAAAAGAACAAAGTATATAAATGAACATGGAAGTTCTGCCACATGCAAAAGAATAAAACTAGGCTATTACCTTACAACATATATGAAAATCAACTCAAAACGGGTAAAAGACTTGGATGTAAGACCTAAAGCTATAACATACATAGAAGAAAATATAGGGACAACAATCCTTGACATAAACCTCAGAAAAGTTATCTATGGATTCATCTCTAGGAAAAAAGGAAAATAAACAACTGGAACTAAATTAAATTTAAACACTTCTGTACAGAGAAAGAGAAAGTGCCCAAAACAGACAGACTACTGAGTGGGAGAAACTGAGGACAATATAGCAGACAAGGGAGTGATATAAAAGATCTACAAAGATATACAATTCAACAAAAAGAAAACAATCTAACCCAAAAATGGGCAGAAGAGCTAAATAGGCACTTCTTCAAAGAAGACATTAAGATGGCCAACAGGCATATGAAAATATACTCATTATAATGTATTATCAAAACCACAATGAGATACCACCTCACACCTTTGAGAATGGCTTACATCAAAAAGGCCAGACCAGGAATGGCAAGTATTTTCAAAGGTGTGGGAGAAAAGGACCCTTCTTACATTATTGATGAAATTTAGATTGGCCCAGCACCCTTGGAAAGCAGTATGGAAGTGTGTCAAAAGAATTAAAAATTGATTTGCATAGGACCCAGAAACTCCACTTCTAGGTATCTATCTAAATAATACAAAAACACTAATTCAAAAGGAAACTTGTACTCCCATGTTCATTGCAACGCTGTTTATGATAGCAAAGCTATAGGAACAACAAGTGCCCAAAAATAGATTAGTGGATCAAAAATATTTGGCAAATATATGATGGAAAACTACTCAGTGATCCAAAAAGATCTAGTTCATAGGATACACATTATACTTACAAATTGAGGTTTATAGTATGCCGGCCCTAGAGTGCTGTCACTATCAGGTGGAAAATGTTTTTTTATACTGCCATCCTCATTTATATCATAACCATATGACTGTCCACAAGAAGGAATTGAAGGAACTTCAAATCTTCTGGATATTGTAATTGCCCTTGAAATTTTCTGTGGGAAAATATTTTATATATATATTCAAAGGGAAAAGCAAAAGTAGCCTGAGTAAAGGACAAATACTATAAATTTCTAAAAGAGAGTTATTAATTTTTAACTTAACAAGCTTCATAATATAAACTAAAATATCTGTTTTATAACAGTAACACAACAGAGTGAATTTAAGTCATAAATGATAGTATAAACAAAGATACTATTATTAGAGTCACCTTATGAGGCAAGTATTTTCTCTCTTGTCTTGGTTATTAATGTTGCTTTGTAAATCAAGTATTGTGAATTCTGAAAACAGGCATTCATTCCTATAGACACATCAACAATTTAAAGTGGTTCTTTATGTTATTTTATCATAGTATCTGCCAGACAAATACAAACTGAATTTGTCTGAAATAATTCCTAAATTTACTCCTTCCCAATTCATGACTTCCCTCCATGTACAAATAACATTTCCAATTTTTACTATATAATACAAAATGAAAATATAAAACTGTATTTATGATGATAGCTGTCTAAGTTATATGACATTATGTATGTGTAAATAGCTGCATACATACATGATTTAATACTAAAAACAGTCATTCAGGACTTAACAGGATAACATTGTCAAATTTAGGAGTTTCCAGTGTGATTATCCTACTTTCAAAAATTCCTTTAATGTAAGATATATAATAATTATAATTATACCCTCCACAATCTTGGCCACTAGAAACAAGCCTCTAGACTCTCTGCTGATTAATGGGGTGAGTTCCCTGTAACTCAGCCTCTCAACCAGGAGTCCTTCCACCCCTTTAGTACTCACAGCTAGCCTAACAAAGTCACTTCTAAGAATGGCTTATATTATTAGAGTAATATAGGCCCACATTAAGAAATTAGAACACAACCAACCTTATCTGTAATCTCAAGGAAGTAGAGAAAGAAGCAGAAATCAGTAGAAGAAAGACAATAATCATTAGAACAGAAAATAAATAAAATAGTAACCAGACCCTCCCTGTGAGGCAATGGGTTAGGGCACAGTACTGCAAGCTGGCTGCATCCACTTCAGTGCAAATTCCATCTCCAGCCACAGAGGTGGTCCACATGGCATGGCAGACCTCTCCTGACCTGCCCACTGCTCTCCTCAGCAGTGTACTTCATTGATCTGCCTGTTCTGTTTTTTGTTCTGTCTCTGGTGAAGTCTCTCACTGGCCATGTGCCTCTGGCCTGTACCCCAGTTCTGTATGCATAAATAAATCTTTAAAAAATAAATAAAACAAAATAGCAAACAAAAATATAGTTTGTAAGATCAATAAAATGAAAAGTTCTTAGAAAAGCTAAATAGAACAAAGCTTTTGCCAGGCTGTCTTAAAAAAGAAAGAAAAAAACTCAAATATATAGGATCAAAAAGGAAAGATAAGTTACAACAGACACTTTAGTAATTCAGCAGATGACAAGGGATTACCATAAAAATTTATGCAAATAATTCAATAGCCAAAATAACCTGTAGAGATTCTTAGAATTAAATAACTGTAAGACAATAAATAGAGAAAATAAAATCTGAAAAGAATTAGTTACATTATCTTTAAAGATACATCACCCAAAGCAAAGATAGTGAAAGAAAGGATAAATAGCTCAGACTACATCAAATTAAAGAACTTCTGTACATATGTGTGTATGTCTATCCAAAGAACACAAAAACAATGATTTGAAAACAAAACTGCACTCCCATGTTTATAGCATCACTCTTTACAATATCTAAGAGACAGAAACAACCTAAATGTCCCAGAAAAGATGAATGGATCAAGAAGATGTGTTACATATACCTACATGGCATAAGGGATAAACTGCAGCAACTCCCTGGAAAGAGCCAGATGTTTTGGACAAGATTGATAATCCAAAAGAAGGAGGAAGGTGAAAGCAATGGAGAAAGAGAGGAGAGGGAGATATTCATCAAGATCCCTTCTCCCTCCTCCACCCACAATCCAAACACATTGACCAAGAAAAGAAAAAGGAGGAGATAAAGTTTGAAAGCAACAGGAAAATACCGAATGATCTAAAAAATCCAGAACGTGACACAAAAGTCAGCAGGTTAATTCATGTAGAGGGAACAGTGCTCCAGCAGGTCCCAAGCATATGACTTGGAACTGAGTTGAGCACAACTGGCAACTGGTGGGTGGGGGTGAGACCTGCAGGAATGAAAAGGCTCGGCTCATAAGCCACAGTCAGAAACTGGAAAGGGGTTTAACAAGTACATAGCCCTTGCCATAGTTGAAAGCCAGGCAACAGCTGGGAGACTACTACCACCATAAGCCCAAAGCTCCCCAACATAGTGGGAAGCCAGGCATGGGTATGCCTGCTGCCTGGATTGCTCTGGGATAGTCAGAAGCCAGGCAGGGTACACAACTCCCCCACCACAGTCAAAAGTCAGTCTAGGGTGTGGCCACCACCAAGATTGTACAGCTCCCCATCATAGACAGAGGAGAAGAGTATGGCCACTGCCTTGAACATGCAGCTCCCTACCATAGTCTGAGCCAGGCAGGGTGTGGCCATCACTATTAGCACACAGTTCCCAGCTATATTTGGAAGCTAGGTAAGGCATGACTGCCAGTGCACAGCCCCAAGCCATTGTCAGAGGGTAGACAGGAATGTGGCTGCCCCCACAAGTGCACAGTACCATTCCATAGTTGGAAGCTAGGCAGAGGTATGGCCTGTATCATGAGTGTACAACTCCCAGCCATAAGCCAGTCAGATGCCAGATGGGGGCAAGGCTGCCAGCACATAGCTCCCGGCCAGTAAGACAGTGGATGGGGGCATGGCCACAACTACAAGTGCACAATGCACCACAATAGTTGGAAGCCAGAAGAGGGGCATGGCCACTGCTGATAGGAACATACAGCCACCTGACAACAAACAGAAACCAGGCAACAGCAGGACTACTGCCACCACTTGAGAATATGTAACCTCCAGCAACAGTTGAAAGCTAGGAATTCCACTATGCCATCCTGGAACAGAGGAAATACAGAAAAAACACCCATCAACATATTCACAACATCATTATTCTTGTGGAGTTCTGACACATTAGTGCTAAACATGGTCTCACAGACTGTTCCTGAGATTCCAAAGCACACAGAAGAAATGCCAGCCGGATACCAACAACACAGTGTCCCATCAGATAGAACACATTACCAAAAAAAATGACAGGGGAAAGGAAAAATGCAAATAACCAAGCAAACCTGCAGCGGGAAGAAACACCAAAGAAATTAAAAGCAGTCACCAGAACTAAAAAAAAAAAAAAAAAGACATGAAAGAACTCTGCTTGTAAGATAAAGAATATAGAACCACCATGATCAAAAAACAGAGAATACAAAAATATATGAGACAAAAATCTAAAATGGATTTTAGATTTTTAGATTTTAAAATGAGACAAATAGTCAATGAACTGAAGAACAAACATGAGAATTTAAGAAAAGAAAGAAAAGAAATGTGGATATTAAAAGGTTAGCGGAGGAGATGGAGAGCTCTGGAAAAGCAAAGAAAAAGAATTGATGAAATGGAAGAACAAATTAGTAATCCCAAAGATACAAATCAAAAAACAGAATAAAAAGAATCAAAACAGAAAAGGAAAGAGAAGTACAAAAGAAAAAATAAAATAAAGAAACACTTTGAGAGCTATCTGACACAATGAAGAAAGGAAATGTGAGTTATAGGAATGTCAGAAGGTGAAGAGAAAGTCAAAGGAATTGAGGAACTATTCGAGGAGATAATGGAAGAGAACTCCCCAAGCATCAGATGGAGATGAAAATAAGACATACAAGAAGCCAGAAAGCCAAATTTCCATGATAAAAGGAAAACAACATCAAGAAACATAATAGTAAAGCTCCCAAGATTCCAAGGCAAGGAAAATATAATGAAGTTGACAAGAGGGAAAAAACAGGTAAAATATAAAGGAAAACCAATCCAGCTAACATCAGACATCTCTGAATAAATACTACAGGCAAGAAAATAATTGAGGCACATATTCAACAAATTCTAAGATGACCCTAAATGTCAACGAAAATATTTGTCTGAAAAGCTCTCCTTCCTATATTAAGACACAATAAGGACTTTCCAGGCAAACAGAAACTCTAGAAATACATTTTGACTAAACCCCAGCTGCAAAAAATTACTTTAAGAAGTCTTAAATCCAAAATGAACAAGGAATGAATAAAAAGAACAGAATAAGGCAAGGAAAAAAAAAGAGTCAAACAAAATGGCAAATAACAGATGCCAACAAATCAATATTAACCTTCAATGAAATGGTCTAAACTAATCAATAAAAAGATATGGAGTCATTTTAATTTTTTCATTAAAAATCAAAATTTGGGGATTTCCAGCAAAATGGCAGCAGAGTGAAGATGCCAAAATCACTATGTCAAACCCACACAGGAATATAAAACGCAAAACGGTCTGTGGACTTACATACTGTAACTTTCAGCCCAAATGAGAACACCCTGGACTCACTAGAAGGAATATGACTGAGGGAGAATCGGTGTTTAGGGATTTCTGATAGGGGAACCCTGATCCCCATACAGGAGCACCCAGGTGCCAGGAGACTTGCTTCCCTTTCACCCTCGACCTGTCCTAGAGATAAAGAGAGATAGTGCAGCTGGGTGAGTGGAATCCAAGCTGCAGTGAAAGACTGCAGCCCCGAACCCGGATTGCCCAGGTACCCAGGTGCTAGGACCCAAGAGTGCTCAGTTGCCAGCCATTAGAAGGAGCCTTGCTTCCCTTCCCCCCTCAGCAAGCCCTGGAGATAAGGAGAGACAGCTCAGCTACGTGAGTAGAATCCAAGAAGCAGAGAAAGGCTGCAGCCCCATCCTTGATTGCCTAGGCGCCCAGGTGCTATGACTTGGGAGCGTGCAGGTGCCTAGTCACCAGAGGAGACTTCTTTCCCTTGCCCACTTAGCCTGCCCAGGAGATAAGGAAAGACAGCTCAGCTGGGTGAGCAGAATCCCAGCTGCAGGGAAAGGCTGCAGCCCCAA